TTATCAGACAGCGTCAAAATTAGAAGGTTGCTATTCCACCATAGAATGCAGTCTGTGCTTAAAAAAGGTGATAAGTACACATGTGAAAACCGCCATTTTACCCATAAAATGAATAATTCCTGTACAGTCCTTTAGAGCGACATCAGACTGTAACCACTTCAGCATGTTACCTCTTGCCCCTAGGGGGTGTCATACCATAAGTTTGATCAAAAACTTCCGACCCCCCCATCTTAGCACTTTTTGTGATTTTTGCATGGTCTTCTCGCGGATACACTCTTAAGACACTTTTCTAAACAAGATATAACATTAATAATAAGTTATCAGGAACTTGAAGAAAAATATCAGTCACATTCAATTCTGTGTCAGACAACATGACAGGCACCAGAGGCATTGTGTCTGACAATGCCTTAATTTGTGCCTGACACTGTCTGTGACAGGTGCTATATATCCAGAATTGTTAGAACAATAATTAGTCTAGATTACAATTGATTAAACATGCATTATGCAAGAGCTAAATCTGCCTATTGCAGGTCTTTCTTTAGGCCTGAAATATTTTCTAAAGTATTAATTAGACATTAATTAACTAATCCAGGCCTTAATCAACTCTCGATGGGATCAGATTTCTCCGATATTAAATAGATTAGAATGGTTCAGCGATACTTTGATTTAATCAAATATGGAGGACCGAGACTTAGCTTCGATCAACTAGTACGGTGGTTGAAATTATTGCACACGTCTGTCAAACCTTCAAAGGCTAATATCTTCGCTTGCAATAGAGTAATTTGAATGAAATTTCAAATTATTCATTTTACATCTTCTACTTTCGAACTATTATAGCAAGAATGGCTAGTTCTTTATCCAAATCTTACATAATGTATCTTTAAAGAAGTACAAGTTTTTAGCTTGATATATGTCCCACTTATATCGAGAGACTATATTTAGGGACTAACATATTGTACAGTTTTGTTTCACTAATATGCTTATGCATTGGGGTCTTTAGCAGTGGGAGGAAACTGGAAGACCCAGATAAAACCCACAAGATTAGGCAGGCATACCTACTCTGGGTCAACACAAGTGTGGGATCAAAAACATACTACTTGACTCAATGACAGACCTTATGACCTAAAGTGCATGTGATAGACCTTTCAATCACCTAAGCTCCTACACACCTATAAAACTCGTTTGGGTAAATTAGATCCGTTTTCAGTTTATCAACCACTTCTCGTGATCTGTAATATTATGTTTTTAGTTTTTATAATCATTAAAGAAAGTCAATAGTGTTAGGGTCCCAGTGCATAATTCAATAGCTTAAACACATTACAAGTATCCATTAATTTTATTGGGGTAATCAAGCATGTCCTTCGAAGTGTTTCTTATCATAAAAGATCTTGTGACGCTATTTCAACATAAGTTATGGTAACCATTCAGATTAGAAAATTTTCTATTATCATATTATTTACATACTTTAGGGACATATACTTTAGCCGCCTAGCTGCCATTTTTATATCCATTTGCTTACAGATTTACATGTACATCGAGTACCAGTTAAGACATTTTCACTCAGTTTCTGGTTTTGCCCAACAAATTAAATGAAATGAAATGAAACGAAATGGGGTTTAACGTCCTACTGTTTTGCCCAGCAACCATTTCGATATTTAAATACAAACAAGGATGGCCTTGATATTTTTGGGAGTAAAATGGTAGGCATACACAATACAGTCAAAATAGAACATCAAAATAAATGGCATGGAGCTTAAGGTCTTGTCAACACAATACTTCCATCATTTTGAGACTAACATATAGCAACTAACAAAAATATAGGAAACAGGCATGTAGGTTCTTCTTGGGTACTACTGGCAGATACCCCCACCCCCATCACATACCTACTGGGTCATCTATATATATGGCCGATGTCCAATGAATTATGTCTAGAATACTTTGTGTACACTCGCGGACCTCCAATTTTTGCCTCATCTGAAAAACTATGCAACATAATTTTCAGCCCTGCAGGTGTTATCCTGATAAATAGGAACCAGGCTGGGTCATCAGCTAAATTCTTTGGGTTTTTTTTTTTAAGAAGCACCTAATACCTACAGCTAAACTGTTTTGTTGGTACATGTATCTAACCCCTAAATATAAATATACTCAATTTTAATATCAATTTAACATCAATTCTAATATCATTTTAGTATCAAATCAATGTAATATGCAATCCAATGTCAATGCTAATATCATTTTGGTATAAGTTCTTTTATTTTGATACTCATTTCATATCAATTTAATATTCTTTTAATACCAATTTATGTCATTTAAAAATTATGTGCCCTATTGCTTCTTTCAGAAACCATATCTAATGAAATTGTACTAGATCAAAACCTATACAGGTCACATAAACTTTAGACTTTAGTTACATAATAATATGGTCAATTAGAACCAGGGTATGATGACCACCTTGGTTAAAATATAAAATCAAGATCTATTAGATTACAATGATAATCTATATATCAATAGAAATCATACCGGTCAAAGTCCTGGAGCTAAATGTACAAGTGTATATATTAGATGCCTGTGCAGAGATAAGGCCAAGAAATAAAATACAAGTATATTATGGTTTCTGGATTCTTTTATTTTATTGTAGGGTTTTTGAGTAAGATAGGAAAGAACTAATTGAACTAATAAACTGATCGTTTAATAACCCATTCTAAAGCCTCTGTGATGTCATTTGAAATATTGCAAAGCTTTTATTATTTATTTGCTCTTCTGGGAAATAATGCTGATTCAGACAATTGTAAATAATGAAATTTCAGTGTCTGCGGAAATCGACGCCAAGACCTATTTATAGAACCTGGGAAATGTGAAAAAGTTTAGGGTCAATGATTTTGGCACAAAACAATAGAGTCTGTCAGGTAACTGTAAACACAGGTATATAAGAGGATTGAATTCAACAAGTATCTTCATGAAGAACAGTCATCTTAACAAGTTTATAACTGAGTATATAAACTGAAGATACAATCAAGCCTATATGATACTATTATAAACCATTCAACCATATAAACATGTTCCTCACATTATTTACTAAAATGTTTAAATATAACATAAAGCTCTGTCCAACATAATAGTATACATTAAGCATGTGATCACAAACACCAGTGTTACCTTCAGGGAACATCACTCACCCAACGTTGGTCAAGTTAAATTCAAAACCTCGTGGTTTTTTCGTTCAAGACATGGGATTTATTTTAGAGCTGAGCAACAGAAAAAAACAAATAATTTTTTGAAGCCACATTAATTTTACCTTGCACTATCTTACCAGTAATACAACTTACAGTTAGACGAACTGAATGTCCATATCAATGTCACTCAGCTAAATGTTACAAGCAGCCCTTATACAACGATAGAAAGTCCTTATTAAACGTCATTCAGCTACATCTTACAACCAATTGAATAGAATGTCCTTATCAAATGTCACTTGGCTACATCATACAACCAATATCTACAAATCAACTTATATTTTGAACAATGAATGATGACATTTATGAGAAAAAGAGTAATTGGAATATGTTTGTGATACACATGCATAACACCAACCTTGTACATTAAGGGGAGGGGAGAGGGGGAGGGGAGAGGGGTACTCGAGCATTGAGGGTACTGAATTCTCTGCTCTAGAATGTTGCCGTTGCAAATACTGGCTGGGGTTGAGAAGAACTTTTGGGAATATTTATGTCTGGCCATCACTTCTCAGGTATGGCACCTGTAAAGGTAACAAGGTGTGTCTAGTCATTTGGATTGGAGGAAAAAAAACAAAGTCCAACAATATTCATATTGGGGTGCATGTAAAAGAAACTCTGACACATGGGAATTGAACAAGAATAGGCAGACAAAATTTTACCTTGCACTAAATAGTAAGTATTGAAATACACAAAACTGTTTCAAAATAATTTGAGTATGGTGTTAACAAAACATAAAACCCCATTCCATTCTACTGTACATCATGTTAAACTGTTTTTATCATCCAATAATGAATTACACAGGAGATATCTTGGAATTATCGCAATATCCCCTATAACAGGCTAAATATATCTCCTAAAAGAATTTACTATTTCAAATAGACTTCAAATGACTCGACATCTTTAAATTGTGCAATAATATAAGGCCAGGCCAATAAAGCACTTACCTATTTTAATTTATTTCAGAACAGCTTCCTAACAATTATAGATTTTATTTTATAAGCTTCCTTACAATTTCAGATTTTTTTTTATAAGCTTCCTAACAATTATGGATTTTATTTTATGGCTAATCAACTGGGCAGAAAGTTTAAACCTACATGTAAAACTGCACAAACTTCTGGTAGATCAGAAATGATATTAAAAAGTGTTATTCCACTGGCTAGCAGTAGTCCATGTTGTTTTATTTCATCTCTAACCAAGGAAACGTTTATATTTTCACTCATGCTACGCATTCGTGAAAATATAAGTTTTCTTGCTTCTCGATGAAATAAAATACGTTATTCACTCTAAAACGACAAATATCCTCTATATAACAAACCAAGCATGTGTTCTATATGAGTTTTGGTCTTAATTTCTTGTTGAATCATATTTTGGTTGTAAGTACCACAACAATCTCGTGACTATACTATATATGTAGCAAAATGCATCAGATAAGACAAGGTTTTCCGCGATATAATTCTTGTAGCTACTCGTGACAGTAAAGTTTTTAGTCGTTGGGTTGTTTATTTTTAAGTCTTTATAGAGGTAAATTCTAGCAAAGCATTTTCTTTGACATATCAAGAAGAACTCGACTCCATAAATAATGGATGCTGTAATGTATCTAATATAACTGAAATAAATTGTCAATTCATAAATTCACCAATGCAATGTGCAAATTGAACTGTCAATAAAGCGATCAACATTCATGAAATCCAATCAGCAGCGAACTGTCAATCAGGGTTCCAGTTATTGATAAACAAAAATAAGTAAATCGATTATAATAAAAATACTTACTTTAATAAATCCTTGCTCGCTATCCAAGTGTCAACATATGTAGTATAAGATAGTATGTATGTTTTTAAACAACAAAAGTGTGGTGATCGGTGACCGTAACGTTCACCTAAAGTATAGCTCGAACACAACTTATCGGCTGGCTTTTAGCTTCGCTGACTACACTTCAAGCTCGTGCGCATGTCTTAATTATCTTACTGAAAGACACGTGCGCCGCTTAACGAATTAGCTTTATATGAAAGGGAATTCTTTTTTAAAAAGTAAAAATATAGTTGTTTTTTTTATCTACATTTTATATCTAAAGCATTCATAAATTTGTATCCGCATATATAACTGAGGGGTTTATAACATCTATAGCCTAGTAGGGTGGATTTATTAATGTTTTAAATGGTGTATAGTAAATAACTATGTAATATATACCATGGTGTTGTATTGGTGTCATGTTATTACTTTAAGGCTAGCCAAGATATACCCATATTCCTGAAGCAATGGCCTGATAAATCCTTAATGGGATTTAGGTCTAATCAAATTAAACACTGCCAGGAATATGGGATGTAGGCCTGTACGCTGGTTCCCACCTTTCTGTTAATTCAAATTGCACTTCGTTCTTGGCTATACACTAATAACTTCAAGTATGTTATATTTCCTATTTTAATTTATTTATTAGTAGATATAGTACATATTTATATCAAGTAAAGATTAATACTTCTTAAAAAAGAATTTTTGCAACTTGTGTAGTTTATCCATTTATTTTTCCCGCCATATTTTCCCCTTTTTCCTGTAGTTTTGTGGAGGTACATGTAGCCTATTTTGTGAATCATTAATTAATAAAAACATCTAACACCGGATGTGTTTAGTTTCTTTCCTTCTTTATATCAAATGATAAAAAAAAAATAATATCTATTTATTTTACGTGATATTATATGTTCATTTTGTAAATCTATTTCTATTTTGATTTTATGTTTTCTCTTTATGTTGGTAATATATATGTATTTATATTTTCAGTGTTTGGTTTGTTTCTAAATAAACTGTTAAAAACCACGTATCAAGACACTGCGATAGGGTAAGCCCCGGCTACAATTACAAGAATTGAATATAGCACCCATCATTTTATTATAAACCCAAAGAATTCCCGCGTTTTTTTTTAGTACCCACACCCAGGGCCGGATTAAGCTTGCATGGAGGTCCTGGCATCAACAGTGAAAGGGGCATATTCTGGACATTTTCTGACACACACACACATACACATATACAACATAATAAATGACATTTATTTATGGTGGAAAATTGTTTTTTAGAGCTAATTTAATATTGGGATGCCTGGCCACAGTTCCCACTTAATCTCGCCCTGCCCCCAACCACATGCAGCGTTTTATCGGCAACAGAAATGACAGTGACACCGATGTCGATGCCCCCCGCCGAAATCCCAAACTAAATAGATGACAAATTAATCAATTATCCATTTATCATATTCAAAAGTATCGAGCAATCAAACTGATTATCTATACTTATTCTAAACATAAAATGTTCATGATCATGTGCAGTCACGGTACTGAAGTACCTTCACTCTCCATCAGTTAGAATCAAAGTTATCGTGTCCAAAAGCATCGACTAATGAAATTGCTTATATAGCTCTGTTCAGCTTTAGCGAGAAATGTTAATCAGTCAAGACATTCACCTAATATAAACATCTACATCTACCTCAATTAAAAGCAGAGTTGTTACATGTATGTTCCAACTAGTCTTGACCAATCAAATTGCGTACCGCTACTTAACCTAAAAAGAAAATTCTCATCATCGAACTTAGTCAGGGTATTAATAAAATGAATCTATACTCAGAGTTTCACCGCTCTCATCCAATCAGAACCAAAGTTATCGTGTTCCAAAGTCTCAAACAATCAAATTGCTTATCTCTGCTTAGCCTTAGTGGAAAATGTGCATGATCAAACTCTATCAAGGCATTCACCTAGTATACATCGATTAGATCTATTTTATAAGGCCAACTTCAAGTTTGGTCAAAGGTCACGAGAAGTAAACAGGGCTAACGCTAATCCCAACTCTAACCCTAACCTACAATCGCGCCAACAATCACGTGCCCTAACCTTATTTACATATCAGCGACTTTGACGAAACTTGAGCTGGCCTTAACAAACAAATTTAGCCAATATGGATCTACTCCAAGTTTGAACATTCTACCTCATTTAAAAGGAAAATTTATTGTGTTCCAAAGTCTGGATCCAATCAGATTGAAGTCACTACTTTGCCTATTAATGCCCAGCATCGAACTGTGTTAAAGTATTGATGCAATGAAACTATACACGATGTTTCACCACTATCACTCAATTAGAATCAAAGTTGTCGAGTCCCAAAGTCTCGACCAGTCAATTGCTTATATATCAGCTTAAGCCTTACCCTGAGCCAAAACTGTTCATTATCGAACTTAGTCAAGGTATTGATGTGATGAACCATACAACAAGTTTCATCACTCTAACTTAATTAGAACCAAAGTCATCGTGTCCCAAATTGTTTATCCCTGCTTACCCTATGCAAGAAATGCTCATCCTCGAACTCCATCAAGGCATTCATCTAATGAACGCCTACACCAAGTTTGAACGTTCTACCTCGTTTCGAAGAAGAGTTATTGTGTCCTAAAATGCCGTTCGAGTGAGACTTCTAGCGTATTTCGGCGACCATAACTGATTAGAAATTATAGCAAAATCAGCAACGTTTGAATGTAAATCAGTATATACAGTATACATTCATATTACATTATTATATGCGTTGCGACCATTTGTGTCCATTTCTAGGTCCCCCTGCTTTCTTCGAAAGGCGGAGGGGGGGGGGGCAATAACCAGTTACGGCACCAATCGATCTATCCTTTTCAGACTTGGAACTTTTGAACCAGCCCTCGTATCATATGCCATTGCTGGATTGGCTTCTGATACTTGAGCTTTTGAGGGAGTGTGTGTATTCTTCCCGTTCAATCAAATCTATCCCAAGTACAGCAACATGACAGCCCTTCGTTTAATCTGGGGTCTTCCCTAAATCTTTGGACAGTGATTTAAAGTAGCTAAGTCTCTAACTCAATATCATCCAAAATCTTCAACATTGAAAACACGATTTATTTGTCAAATTAAATCAACATTCATGTTGTGATCTTACAGGAAAAAGATGGGCTTTTGATATCCAATATTTAAGACAAAATAAACATTTTACCATTGGTACACGAATCGTGTACCATAATGCGCTTCAGCCCCAGTTGTATCAAGAGACTCGAGGGACGAGGCTAGACACATTGCACCAAATCAAACGGCGTATGTAGACTGGAATAACCAGCCGCTAGAAATTTGCACTCGCTTGAGACTGCTGGCTTATTTCGCCGAACATAACTGATTTGAAATTGGAGTAAAAACGGAAACCATTGAATGTAAATCAGTATATATACATTCATATTACAGTATTATATGCGTTGCGATCCACTTTTGTCAATTTCTAGGTCCCAAATGTTAGTGATTTAGCTCCTTTAAGGTATTAAAAAATGTGAAAGTATTGTTCGTCTCCAAACAGTATTGTTTACATTGTATACGTTTTGATAGCCTCGTTTCTCACACAATTAGTTTTTCCGCAGTATTCTGCTATGCACTGGTTAATTAGGCGTAATAAAAACGTGTGTCATGACGTGACGCTGGTATGTAAACACTTTGGTCCAATTTGGAGCTCTGTTTAAAGCGTAATGATATCGTTACGCAGTTAGCTATTGGTTGTTAATCGGACTATTGACCAGTCATAATTTGGAACAGAAATTCGCTTCCATTACAGCAGTGTTAAGTGGGATTAGCTCTAATCAAACGAAACACTGCGAGGAGTATGGTTAATACTAACTTCAATGAAGTTGTTATACATGTACATTGAATTTAAAAATTTAAAATTCAGCCAATGAACAGTCTTCTCTTGGATTAACTTTAATAAGTCGGTTTGCTAACAGATAATGAAATTGACTTCCCAGCAATAGAAATTTAACGGACCGTTAACAAATGACACGTTAGCAAGATAACTATCTGTTAAAATAACTTAGTTTTGAGCAACAAGGCCCCAGGATTTTATTATCCACTATAATGTGAAGTAACATATATATATTTCAAAGGATTGGCAAAGATAAGGATCTCTGGCTACTGCATGAAATCAATAAGCGTAGATCTGTTCTGCCTTACTGTCTTGTGATGCAAATCAAAGTTCAGTCAGTATTTAATCACACGCGAGACATTTTATTGATGTAACTTTCTTCATTATTGGTAGAAAAACACAATTTTCGTGGTTACATAAAATGAAAGTAGGAAACATTTAGTTTATATAATTCAGAATAGTATGAATAATTTTAGGAAATAATTTATACAAATTACATGTTTAATGAGTAATATTATTCATTTAAAGCTGTTGATCCCCATATTGTGAAAGTGGAAAGATGATATGTCCAAAAATGGTTCAATTTTATTCAGTGCTTACAAAGATATTCAGCAGACTATATTTACGCCTGCTTCCAACTGAGTGATATTGCAAACAAACTATATAAATAAACTAGCGCCTCCTATAATGTTTTGATGGGCCTCTTTGAATCCACTGAATCCACGACAAGAGAATATATAGCTACCTTTAATATTGATATTTGGATTTAGTTTTCTGAATCAAATTTTAAATAATCAATTTGCGCACAATCTTGTGAGAATTAAGTCCGAGTCAGGAAAAATTAAGATATTGTCCAACAAAATGATGACCAACTGCTTTAAGAAAAGGCCTCAGAAAATATATGATTTATATTGATATTCTTATTGATATACATTGTGAATGATAAAGAAGGAATATGTCTCAAAATAAAAACATTTCAATTCTTGGTATAAAAAATATTGGTTTTTGGAACTCACAATATTAATAACTATAATAATGAAGTTTTGAAAATATGATGAATATAGTTTAAATGATTCATTTTGACCAGTATGTTTTTATATATTTTTTGGTTATTCAGGATAGATAGGGTGCAGATTATATGGAATATTGTACAGATATTGCTGTGGTCTTTTAAAGTAGCCAAGTCTCTAACTCAATATCATCCAAAGTCTTCGACATTGAAAACACAAATTATTTGTCAATTTAAAACAACATTGATGTTCTGATCTTACCGGAAAAAAATGGGCTTCTGATATCCAATATTCAAGACAAAATAACCATGTTACCATGTTTTGTGCCATGCGTTTTTGTGCTATTTGTAACAAGGGACTCGAAGAACAAGGCTAGACATATTCCACAAGTTATATCAAACGGTGCCCCATATTCTTATCTGGAGAGCTTGTGCAATAAATACTATAGGGATTGACTGGAATAACCAGACACTAGAGACTGTCATTCGACTGAGACTTCTGAAAACGATTGAATGTAAATCAGGTTATATACATTAATATTACATTATTATATGTGTTGCAACCCATTTGTGTCAATTTCTAGATCCCAAATATTAGCGATTTAGCTCCTTTAAGTAAAACACAATCTTCATGCACAATGCTGATTTACACCAAATTGAAAGAAATAAATATATTGGTATATGTTGGCAAGCAGGATAATTACTGCATGGACAACAGACAAACTGAAGTCAGATCCAGATTAAAGAAGCGCATTTTATGGGCCGCACTAAATGCCTGCACCCTATCGATTATGATTCAGTGATTCTGTACTTGCCCTATTACTACTTCAAGCTTTATGAACTCTGGTGTTTTAATGTTAGTCAATTAAAGATGTATTATGTAAGATTTAGACAAAGAGCTTGTTGTTCTTGCTATAATAGTTAAAAAATAATCAATAAAAAATGAATATATTGAATATGTTATTCAAATTACTTTATTCTGATCGAAGTTATGGGTGTTGGAAGTTGTAGCACAGATTGTTTATTATCGCTAGCAACATCACTGGACAATAGAGACAGCCTCGTTTGTCCATTTTATCATTAAATGTCCTAACCCATTTAAATTTCTGTTATCCGATGGTCTAGAGAGTTGATTATGGGCTTGTCATGTTAATAAATGTCTAAATAATAACTTTTATAACATTTGAAGCTTAAATATAGACATACAATAGACAGATTTAACTCTTACATAATGCATCTTTAACACCTTCAATTCAAGATGAAAGAGAAAATGAAGAATTTATTTGTATTTTTAAAATTTAGAGCCACTTTATCACATATTATGTCACATACCCTGTTTACCTTTATTTGCAAGAATCACTATTTCAATGATTTGTTCTGAACACCCAGGTCAAAATTTTAAAATAGTTTGTTCAGCACTGTCAAATAAAAGTTTACTATTTTATGACAAAGCAAATTAATGTAATTCAATCCACAGGTAATAAATAAATCAAAGAAATATACAGTTAAAACAACATGTACCGGTACTGATCGCTTACGCTGCATTCAACGTTTGCTCGTGTATTGGAAATTCCAGTCGTGGCAGATTCTTTATATTTTATTTATACCTAGTATTAAAATAGTTTCCACGATAAGAACCCGACATGAAACTCATTTCATCTTTTAATTAACCCTTTATTAGCACCTGGAAACAACCGCCAGAAAAAGATCACTTTTCTCTAATTTTTGTAATGAATTGGTAGTCAATAATTTCCATTGGCTAAAGGGTTAACAAATTAAGATGGCAGCTGTCACGTCTTCAAGGTTACTGTCGGTCTTGAAAATACACAACTATAAATTCAGAGTTCCAGAGTCAAATCACACAGAGACATGAATACACCAATGTATGTTATAAAAAAAAGCATTTCCAATTCACGAGTGCAGCATTAAAGACTTGAAAATCCATTACACATAATAATCATTCATCACCAAGAAAAAACAATATCAATAAATCTTCTCTCTCTATAAAAATTAAATCACTTTAACAAACTTAATTAGTGAACAAAAACAGCTATGAACAATGGCGGTATAAACCTATATATAACATCTTTTGGTATAAAATGCTATAAAAATAATAAAAAAGATGATTTTGAGGAGGATAAAACATTTAAAGAAACCAAGTTATTTTATATAGTCAATAACAGAATAACACATCACACAATTATATGGAATACAAGCTACTTCAAAGTTTATTTCTGGCGATTTTTCAAAAAGGGTTCTCTCACCATAATCAGAAATGAACTTCTAAGTAACTTGTATTTCATATAATTGTGTCATGTGTTATTCTCATTGAGTTACTAAATGTTGCTTAAAGAATTTAAATAACAGAGTGTTGAACTAGTTAGTTCTAGCATTTAAGTTAGTAATCAATAGAAACTAATGTAAATTCCAAACCTTCATGATTTCATATTTTAAGTTTATGTTATTCATTTTTATTTATTAAATGCTAATATCTCCATGTGTTTATAACACTTACATACATTTCAGTGAATATAACAGTTTTTTTTTTAGAGCACTATATTCTAGTCCGAGGCATTTATCCGAAGCTCTGTGGTATGTTTTTAAGAAATACCCAAGGTAAAATATTGTCAGGTAGAGTTAGAGACAAGCTTCTTGACTAGCAATCAGCTTGTGCCTGGATTAACATGTTTATAACTCTTATGCACAGTATATATTTTTATCCCCCCGGAAAGTAATATAAAATTACAAGTTATTGCTGTATCTTAAGTATTGCTTGGCAAAATAAGCAACGGTATCAAATAGTAACGTTTATCAGGTCACGGGAGTTAAGCACTGTTGAAGAGATATGATGCCCCTGTAAAAATTTCAATATGGCTCAATATTTTCAACTATGTTCTTTACATTTTGGTGTTTGATATGCATACTTAACCATTTATATCCCAGGAAATAATGATTTTTATTTACGGCATTCTATCATATTTTTTCTTTCAAACTTGACCAACTTAATTCAACATTTTGTTAATAAAACTTAAGACAACTTGATTCTTTAATACAATGAATGATTAGACAAGATGATTAATTCAAGTTTTGTCCTTGTTTTTATAATTTTGTACACCGTTAACATTTCCATTATTAGATGAGACCGCTGTGTTTGTTGATGATTGAAGACTGGTTGCTATGGAAACTGATGCCTGTGAAGTGGAACTTGTGAGATTAACTGGGAATAATTGATTTGAAGAATCCTACAAAAAATGAGATAAATAAAATGTTTAGATAATGGGTTTCAGATAATTATACAATAATGATGGTGGTGTGTAATTAATACAATCCAATGTAAACTTAAAATGGCAATAGTTTTCAGTGTAACTCATCTTTCAAAATATAACATTAGTACAACATATGGGTGACTTCCATTTCAATTATTGCTAATTATGATGACAGAGTTTTTTAAATATGTTATGTGGACGTGTTTAGGTAAACTGAACAAGCAATAAATCGGGGGACTTTGTTTCTAAGACATCAGTCTTTAGTCTCTCATTTTATTCACACCTTCTTGTCTTTACACGAACCAAAGAAAGAACAATTTACCTGTGTTGATGCTGACAAACGAGATTCAACAGATGATTTGGGTGAAGCAGAATCTGAAATCAATAAAAAGACAAGTGTATGAGGTTAATCACTCTACAATACATATAAGTGGTGCCTACGTATAAAATAACACCTGTTGTATCTACTAGCAGCTTTATCAATTGGACCAAAGGAAACATAGGTTGCCAGCCAACAAAATATATGCTCATGGGAATATCGGACTGATGGACAAATACAGCAACATAAAATGTGGGTGTATAAAAATTATCACTATAAGGAAAGTACAATAATTTAGTAAGTATATCAGCTATTAAACAAAATCAAAGTGAAAATGTAATTGATTTCATAATATCAGCTCGGTCAAGCGAAAGATATCTAAATGACCTCATTTGACCTTTGACCCTGAATAGCTCGAAAACGCCTCAAAGTCAAAGGCAGATTGATTACCACTCGGCAATGTATTCCATGCAAAATTTTACTATAGAAAAGTTTTGTGTCCATTTGATGGACACCCCCACCCCCATCCTCTGGTCTAGTAGAAATACATACCACTAGGACTTGGTGTGTCTTGATGAGAGCTGTGACTCATGGCCTGACTTTCACTTGAACCATCCTATTTTAAATCAACAAAAGCAATTATTCACTGAATTTTGAATACAACTTATTTCTGTCTAAATCATGAACCAAATAAATAAAATGGTACTATATATACACTTGAGTTCAGAATACAATCAGTGGTGGCGCCAGCCTTCGGTGATTGGAAGGGCAAAGCTGGGGCAAAGTCCAAGGTTAAGGGGGCAAAGTCCAAGGTTAAGGGGGCAAAGGCACGAGCTTCAACTAGGGGTAGGGGGCCTCCCCCAGAAAATTTTGAAAAACAGGTTGCCGGAAATGCAGCCTGGCAGTATTTCAGGCACTGATCGATGAGGTAAAGTGTCAAACGAATCGTCAAAGTAGGGAGTCCTCCCCCAGAAAATTTTGAAAAATAGACTGCCGGAAATGCTGTCTTACAGTATTCTGTCAGGCACCGATCGTCGAGATAAATACATCTGACCAGATACCATCCGTCGCCTGATCACTAGTTTATTCGACTAGAGAACAAAATGTCAAATGAACGGACTTGCGAACCTCAATGAATTCCCCTTGTGAGCGCCAAAGTAGCGAGTCCATTGGGCACCTCGCCAAGAAAATTTTGAAAAATAGACTGTCAGAAATGCTCTACAACATGCAAGTTTATGACTAAGTGGGGATGTGGGATTTATTCACCGTAGAAGGTATTGATTACCGAAACGTATCACAAATACTTTTTTTCATTTTCTAAAATTATTGGGGGGGTCAAACAGAGGGCAGACCAGATTAAGGGGGGGGGGGCTTGCGCCGCCACTGAATACAATGCGCTACATTGGTACTTTTGCTTAATTTCCGTACAACAGATACAATAGTAGATCTATTACTGATTAAAGCAATTGTAAAATTACTGATTAAAGCGTCTGAAGGAATATTTTAGGCTATTCTACACACAATAAACTGGAACACCCAAATTCTCATTCAAGGCCCTTATGACACACTGATAAAGATAAACATTTTGAAATACTTCCAAGAAATAAATGAACTAATGCTAACGCTAATCATGCATTTGAAAGCCAAGGAGAATTGCAAGTTTCTACTGTAAAACGCTAGTAATGCTAGCAAAACTTAATCCCTATTTCACTAGCTGTAGTATTTTTCAAACATTCCAGAAAAGTCCCCCTTTAATTTACCAGACTTTGGGGGTAAGCAAACTCTCATGAATACCCAGTGTTTTTATTAATGCTGCGTTTGTTACACCCCCCCCCCCCCACATTATTCTTATAAAGTTATTACAGACCTGCATGATGTCTCCATTAGGCATCCCAAGCTTATTAATGCTGTCGACTTCAGATGAAGAATTAGAAAAAGGAAGTGATAAACGTGCATTTACAGCTAATAAATGATCCCTCCGACTGGTTAAATTTTTAATGTATTCTCCCAGTTGTTGGTTTTCATTTTGTAACTGGTATAAACAGTTTAATAATGATGCAACTGAAAGACAAAAATGTATTTATTTCAAACAAAATAACCAACCAGTTGTACATTAAAACAAGAGGCCCAAGTGCCTTAATCATCCATTGGTAAAAAGAATATGTGCATTGTTAGAGACGAACAGTAGGACATTAAACCCCATTTTATTTCATTTTTCCTTTTGCATTGTTAGAGACTTATTGATCAAATCTACAATAAAACATTTAGGATTTTTATATTTTTTTACATTTCTTCTTTTTAAAATGCCTGGTGTGGTAATTCAATTGCATCATAAATTCAATACAATCTTAATATTAATTTATCCCTCATTGGTTCAATTTAACTCTGAAATACATTGAAGCATTCATTTAGTGAGACTATGAATAACAATTTTGTTTGTAATGCATCAGGTTGGTTAGGAATAGAAGCTAAAACCTTCTTAAATTGTTGCTTCAAATTGCTATTGTTTTACTTGGGGGGAGATCAGCCTTTAGCCTCTAATTAAAATGACCAGTAAACTTGGCATGTAAAGTCAAACATAAAAGCAATTTATCTTTCAGTCACATTAATTAAAGATGAGTTTCAAAGTTGTTCAAGTCAAATAATTATTAGATATAAAGTAGAATATTGTCTTACTATCGAAATGTTGACCTTGTTCCAGTAAAAACTGGGAACCTTGTTCCCATTGTCGTTCAAGAAGTTGTTCCATGGATGCCGGAAATCTACAAATAAACAATATGAAATTAATGATTTCCAAATATCAAAGAATTTCAATTGCTTGCGGATCATTGTATTATTAAAGCCACTGAGCATCACTTGAAGGATTATTAATCCATTACAGACTAAAATATATACATGTTGAATCAATAAAAGGAATATCAGTAAAAAAAATGGTTCAGTATTTATAAAGATATCAAGAATTTAAAACTATTAAACATTTGGAATCTGCTACAAATGATATAAATAATCATATGGAGTAGATTTTAGTGTGGATTAAACCGTGAAAAATTAAATATTGTCCAAAAATGGCACAATCAGTGACTTTATAACTAAATCTGTATGATGCCAAAATCTGTATGATGTTTAAAGGGGCATCAGGTAATTTCAGTCAAATTACTTCACCCTGGGCAGAGTTTTCGGCGATATAATACAGTGTAGTCTCGCTCGATTGTCATTGCTACTGTTGTTAAATAATAAACAAAGTGTTGATTATCCATTTTTACGGTAAATCATCAACCGCAAAACATATTTAAATCTATTTAATATCAGAGCCATCCGATGGCATCAAGAGTTGATTATGGTCTTGGTAAGTTAATTAATGTCTAATTAATAATTTATATAACATTTAAGGCCGAAAGAAAGAGATGCAACAAGCAATTTTAGCTCTTACATAATGCCTGTTTAATAGAGCAAAATATTTTTATCAATGGATAACCCACAATAAACCAATCAAAATGAAGACAAAATGTAACAAATGGCAAAATTATTAAACAAGCACACCACAGACAACAGATTGAACAACATCATCTTTGATTAATAACTTTTATATCAAAGATATAACTTACTCTGAAGTAGAATTTTCCTCTGCCCTCATACTGTCTAGCTGACTAGGGAATATTTTTGGTGGTCCGTAATGTGAATTACTTTCATTGTGTTCATCTGTAAATAAATTCAATAAAAATCTTTTTTAATTTAATATAGTTCAAATACAATGTAATTAATAAACCTAATGGAGGTTTGAATTTTGTATGTTTTCTCGAATAGTAACCAATGTTGATTTACTCTATAGAAGTCTCAGAAAAAAGAAAATTTGGGAAAAAATCTGAGGGTTTAATGGTATGTAGCCACTATTGATTAAACATAAATAAAGTAGAGCAGGAATATAGATAGTTATCTATATTTTAGCTTTTTCAGGGATTATGTTCCTTTTGTAAAAGATTGGGGGAAAAAGGCCCAAAATTTTTGACTCATTTTTGTTATAAACTTTAAATTCTAAATCTTATCTACATCCCTGCCGAGTCTCATCTACAGTATTTAAACTATATTGTTGACTCTCCCATGGGGACTTTAAAAGCAAGTTCTGGAAACTTATAGCCTAATAAAAACTGCTGATCGTCATTTTTGGGATCATAAATCCTTTGCAAACTACAATCTTGAGAAGTTTACTCCATAAAAGTAACATCTATCCAATGGTTTGATTCCATTCAATATTTACAAAGATATGATGAATTGAATATTTCGCAACTTTCGGCAGACGACATAAACAAAATAGTCCTGCCAGTAACCGTTGGGTAAAATCTTTTGATGTACTTGTTTTTAATTCATGTGAATCCAAACCAGGAGAATATCGTTTTGTAGAATTAAAAATAATTTCAGTACATTTTAGTATGAATAAGATATTGTCCCAAAAATGAAGATCTGTTTTTCTGAAGTATTTTTCTTAATAAACTTCTAATTCTATTATATGAATGGAAGACAATACAATCAATATACAGACCATTTATATCTAATTTAATAAATATCTATTAAACTACTTAAGGACTCTGAACATCATTGAGGGGATTGTTAATCCCTTGCAAACTGCAACATTGTGAAACTTAAATCTCTAAATAGAATACGAATCCACAAAATGGTTGAATGTAGCACATAGTCAGCATAAAGGTACTCCAGCGAAGTGTATAAATTTCGTTAAATCGATTAATGGGCCTCTTCCTAATCTGACTAATTCCAAATCAGGAGATTACTGACTGTTGATATTTTGATTTTGTTTTCTTAATTAAATGTAAAAAATCAATTTGATTAGATTTTAGTGTGGAAAATTTGATATTTACAAGAAAATGTAAATGCAAACAGATTCTTTTTATACAAGTATGCTTTAGCCTAAATTTACCAGTATCTAGCCAAGATATATAGAATTATTAAAACTAGCTTTAAAATCTAAACATCATAATCAAATACAATTACGTTACATTACATACGGACAATCAAGACACAAATGGTTTATGACAAATAGTGTAGATCAATTTTACTATAAAGGTAATTTTTACTGTTTTCCTTGCTGCTTTCATGACAACAATACATAAACAATAAAGTGTATCATGTACACAAGTATTATAAAGATAGGTTGCCAGAAAACAAAACATGCACCCACAGCCGCCAAATTATGCGTGTACAAATTTAAAGTATTTTGGACGATAACTTGACAACTTAGCCGGCTGGACATGGTTACATTATTAGGAGTCATTGTTGTCTATAGTTTTGGGGGGGCATTTTTCTTCTGTTTTCATGTTTTTTCATAAATCAAACATAAAAAAACGTATGGTATATAAAAATATACATCCCATAAAAACAATTTCTTCTCAGAATAACGATCAATCTAATATAAATGAAAATACAGACACATTAAACAACTCATAAAACACTATACACCAAAACCAGACAACACTATCAAATACGAGATGAACCACATTACGCAATAACTTATACATGTACATGCTCAGTGAGAAAATAGTTTCTCTCACCTCTACCATAAGAAGGTAACGAGAGTGTAGGAGGACCAAGGGACAATGCCGAAAAACTACCATCAATAGCTGTTAAAATGAAAGAGAAGAGTCAGTCGTCAATATCTATATTGTAAACAGTGTGCAAGATGTAGTGTTATTAGGGGGGGGGGGGATGCTCGATTGTCTCTAATTGACAGAATTACACTCGAGTGACACAGAATTCAATCCTATCACTGTTCTATCGGGTGCGATAGTGTATTGAGAATGGTGAAATAATTAAACATAACAAACATGTGTCAGCTGCTGTGGTTGGTTAAGATATTTTTTATTCAGTCAGCGTACGTAGCCCGAAATTCCGCTTTTCTCTCTGTTGTGACTTTTTGTGGGATTGAGAGAATTTAATTCCTGAAACTTCAATCGAGTATCCCCAAAGTTGAACAGAATGGGAAATGGGACAGAGCATAGAGCAAATAAGCTTAAGCCACCTAAAAAAAAATTTGTCGTGTTTCTCAGATACCGCAGTCTACTTATAAGGTTTAGTTTATGAAAAATTTTCAAAATACAGAACAGAAATGGCTTCCACTAAAGTTGCCCTTTTTTTGAAAGCAAGTATCTGAGAAACATTTATTCAGTGAGCTTTTAACACTTTCTTAGCTGTTTGCATGTAAAATCAAATTATTCCTGGAGTCATAAGGATCATGCTATATCCAATATGATGCCATCTGTTCTAAAGAATAAACTGTATAACAATAAAATCAAAATCTCAACAAAATTATGGCTTGTTTCCCCTTACTCATAGTCTGGATTAACTTTATGGGGATGTTCAATTATCTGTCCGGAACATCCCAAATTGAAAGAATTGCAATCAAGTGACATAATGAACCACAACGAATATGTTTCAGTTGTGATGGTTGGTTGAGATTGTTTCTATTTTGGGGATTGAGATAATTCAATTCAGGAACATCCCCATGTGTTTATAAGTGGCCAGCCAGAAATAGGTTAATAATTTATTAGTCACTTCAATTGATCTAAGTTTAAAATACAAGAATAGCATTAAGATGTTATGGTTAAATCCACAGTAAAGCATGAGCATATTTAGAAATCAAACAGCGTAATGTCTCATGAAGTTTGTAACAAATTACCTGATTGATTAAAGGCAGATAAAGATATTGGTCCAGAAGCTGAAAGACTCTGGAAAAACGGACTACCGCCAAATACACTACTGGTAAAACTGGGACTACTGAAACAAGCAAATTTATCAAATAAAATAATAAGTTTATCAGGATACTTTCACTGAATGTGATTTTAGGATTTAAGACTTCAAAGGGGCTAAATCTCTTTGATTTAGATCAAAATCTATTAAATTTGGGTTGAACTTTTGTTTAGAAAGATTACTAGTAAGTCAAAATCTGTCTGTTTACTAATTTGGTTTCAACACCTGAACACACAGTCAATTTCATCACAATACTGGCTTTATATATGGATGTACATTTTTGAACAAAGACAAATGTCAATCAACTCATAATATTCAATAAAATTAAACATACATTAAGCAAGAGCTAAATCTGCCTATTGCAGGTCTTTCTTTAGGCCTGAAATGTTTTCTAAATTATTAATTAGACATTAATTAACTTATCCAGGCCATGATCCAGGCCATAATCAATTCTTGATGGCATCGGATTTCCGCGATGTTATAGAGATTAGAACGGATCAGCCATATTTTAATTCAATTTAAAAATGGAGGAGCTTCGAACAACAAGTATGGTGGTTGCAATTATGGCACATGTCTTGTCAAATCTTCAAAGGCTAATTTCTTCACTCGCAATCCAGAAATTGGAATGAAATTTTCAAATTATTCATTTACATTATCTATTTTCAAACTATTATAGCAAGATAACCAAAAACTTACGTTAAGCCTGGTGACAAACAATTTTTCATTTTTGAGCCACCATTCGATGTCCCACTAGTCGAAGGTGTTTGCTTTTTACCACCGCCAGAGGGTGGAGTAGGTAAACTATCTCTACTTGGACGTGACTTGCCACCTACAGCCGCAGGTTTTGTTCTTTTTATTTTTTTCTTGGTATCTGATTTTTCTTGCGATCTATAAAAGAAAACATTTGTGTAATTATTTTTTTAAAAAATGTTAATTTCTGTTTCAATTAAGAATCATAACGATTCAAATTAAGATGTCACAAAGCAAAGATCATTTTTTGTGGTCTAAGGGGAGATAATATGGCTGAAAGGAAACAATGACAGAGTTATTCCCCTTTAAAAATGTTACTTTCTCCATATAAAAATAGACTTGATTATTGGTTTATGAAAATGGATCAGCTTATAAATAAAGCTGTTACCATTAAATGTTTTCTTTCAATCCATGCTCGATATGTAACTTTTTTTCAAGCAAACTCTAAACTAGCAAAGAAATTATATAAACAGCATTAAAGGAGCTAAATCGCTAACATTTGGGACCTAGAAATTGACAAAAGTGGGTCGCAACGCATATAATACTGTAATATGAATGTATATAAACTGATTTACATTCAATGGTTTCCGTTTTTACTCCAATTTCAAATCAGTTATGTTCGGCGAAATAAGCCACAAGTGCAAATTTCTAGCGTCTGGATATTCCAGTCTACATACACCGTTTGATTTGGTGCAATGTGTCTAGCCTCGTCCCTCTTGATACAACTTGGGCTGAAGCGCATTATGGTACACGATTCGTGTACCAATGGTAAAATGTTTATTTTGTCTTAAATATTGGCTATCAAAAGCCCATCTTTTTCCGGTAAGATCACAACATCAATGTTGATTTAATTTGACAAATAAATCGTGCTTTCAATGTTGAAGATTTTGGATGATATTGAGTTAGAGACTTAGCTACTTTAACTGAACAATCCTCATCAAGAGATGTTGATCAATACAAAAATTTGCTGGGAAGTAACAAATTCAAAAATGTCAGAAAAAAACAGAATTTTTAGAGAAATGTGTGAAAACTAAATTTAAAATGTATTTTTTTGCTTTACAATTTTTACTTAAAACACTGACTGTTAAAAACAAATTCAAATACATTTCAAACCTGAGGTAATCTACAGATGTAAGATTTGTATAAATATAAATATCTCATAGAAATAACCTTGTTCATATATTTCAGAAAAAAAAAATAAGAAAATTTCTAAATTTGTGTTATTTTCAAAGGGTCTGAAAATATGTAGCCACAAATGAATAAACAAAGGCAGCTAAAAAAAACAGTTGCATAAATGATTTTATACTTTAGTTCTAAGTTATTTTTGCCTTTACTTCAAAAGAAGAAAGACACGCCAAATTTGAAGCGAGTTATGATTTTGTTTTGAGTGAAATTTATTCCAAATATAGGACTGAATGTCAAATTTTGTTTTTTGTGGGATTTTAAACTACAATATAATTAAAATAAATTCAATAAAATAAATGTTTATATCAACTTCTTGGAAGGGTCAATAAAACTAACCTTGACCTAGACCTTTTACCAGCACCTTGGTCTGTGTCCGGTGAATTATGGGATGGGAAGACTACAGGCGGTGTTTTATCAAACGAAGCAGAAAATGGCACCTGATTATCTGAAATAGAAGTGGTATATTTATCCCTGCGTGAAATTTATTAAGTATTATCATATAAAAAGATAGGTTGCCAGGTAACAAAACATACACTCATATCAAGATCAATAACCTTATTAAATATGAATTAACTAAATTTAATATATTTTTACGCACAATCAAATCAACCGACAATTTTAGGAAAATAGAAGAAATTGAAAAAGAATATGCCGGAACGACAGGTTAAAAATACATGGCAGTGACGACACAAAGCTGAGTGGTCAAACAATACACCAAATAAAAAAACAAGCCGCTAAAGAAATGAACATCAATGGTTATAAGTTTACTTGGTGAGATAAATCTTACTAGTTTGAATTGATGTAAGGCTAGTTGAAAGGGTACTATTTGATTCTAATTTATCATCACAATTATTGACAGACTTTGGTTTGGTCACACTGGCATCTACTTTACCATCTGATTTATTGGTGCTTTCTTTTAGATCTGCAGACGTGAAACCTGTGAATTCTGTGGGGGATAAAATAGTGGAATCGGTAGCACTTGTACTGGAGGGAGGGGTTTGAGACAATTTCTTGCTATCTGAAGTTGGTGACTGGAAATTAATCTCTGATACTTTAATTTTCACTTCTTTAATCTATAATAAAGAAGAAAGAATCAAGGTGAGTATCTGTGTAACGTGATTGGTTAAAATATTCTAAAATTTCAACTCACACAAGGGTGGACAAAGGGATATTTCTTAATAAGTGAACTGATAACCATGACAACAGTTTATAGACACTGTTATCATGACACAAGGAACCTGCCTGCAAATTTCAAAACTTGTAACCAATCCAAATTAAAATTGTATTTGGTCATTTGTATTTCTTTGAAAAATTATCACAGAGCTTTAAAGCTCTATTTACTAAAAGAATTATATCTAAGTGTGTGTAATGTTCACAAACTATTTCTTTATTAGTTTATCTTCTTCACTATCTATGAAGGCAATTTTTCTTAATTTCTGTGAACTTTTTCATCAAGTCTGGAAATTAGGCACCTACCACAAACATTGTTCAGAACAAATTTAGGCTTTGTTCGGAGCCGGTTCAAAATGTCAGGTTCTAATTGTAGTGCATGACATTTTGTCAAGATACATAGGAAATCATTATTTTTAGGCATGTGCTACAAATCATCTGAAGGAATAAGATACAAACCTTTTTATCAGGATCCAGTTTTTGTGTATTTTTTTCTGGTGATGTGTCGGGTGTGGTTGTATCTGATGGAATCGGTTTAAATGCTGGTATTGTTTTTATATTAGCATCCCTTTTCTATAATGGAAAATTTGAAATTAATTTAAAGCTTTTAGAGGAATTGAATCCCTGAAAATCTACATCTCCTTGATATGAATTTACCAAGCATGGATGCATTGGCTAGACTTCCAACAATTCATTCACAATCATGGAAAATAATCATATCAATTGTTTGATCACAATCATGAAAAAATCACACAAATATAAATGAAATGGGATTTGATTCAAATAATTGATGCCAAGGACATCCAAAGCCAGTTAAAGGACCCAGAAAATACACACCTTTAAGTTGATAAATTCCAAACGAAATGAAATGAAATGGGGTTTGACGTCCTACTGTTCTGCTCCTAACCTGGGCTAATGAAGACGGGCATACGCCATACAGTGTGCTATGGGGGAAATTTTGCCTGGGCAGCGGCGCTACGGCCTACTCTTATATTGAATTCCAACTGCCAAGGGATCTTTTACGTGCATGCCAATGTGTACACGGGACCTCGGTTTTTCGTCCCACCCGAATGACTAGACAGCTGTCCTTGTCAGGCCCTCCATCCTGCATCACTGACAAGGGGAAACCACGCCGGAAAATCTGAATGAACTTTCTTGGCCAATGCATGGATCGAACACCCGACCTAAAGGCTAGCGAGCCAGCGTCTTACCCACTTAGCCACGTGATCCCCCAAATTCCAAACGAGCTAAAGAAAACCTCACCAGAACTCAATCAAGTCAAATTATCCCCCCCCCACCCAAAAAAAACCTCACTTATTATTCAAATAAAACTCTGTAAAAGGCTGTTTCACCATATGGTTTTTTTGGTAGATAATAATTTTATATTAAGATATGTTAAATTGGTGCCTTCTGATGTAATTTAGAATGAATAATGATTAAGTGAAAATTTGACACCAATTTTGGACATTCAAAATCTTTTGATGCTACATATTTGGGTCTTTAAAATATAAATACAATCAACTTACTAATTTTTTACAGTGGTAGGCACAATAACCACAATATTTAACATTATCACCATAGTTACCAGCTTCTTCACATAATAACCCTTGAGATTGAGCACTGAAATAAAATAAAAAATACACTCATAGGTAGCATAATACACAAAAAACAAACCTGCAGACATGACACACAAACTACACAGACATTGTAAGAAATTAACAACAAACATATTTTCAAGGTAAGAAATTAACAACAAACATATTTTTCAAGACAAGCGAATGGATCCTGGGGCTAGCCTTAAGAGAGAGAAAGAGAGAGAGAGAGAGAGAGAGAGAGAGAGAGAGAGAGGGTTTATTCCCACGAAGGCGCAGTTATTGACCGTAATGGATTAAACCAAGTCGTTTTCGACAACTTCGTGGGAATCCAGCTCCTAGGGATTAAACTCGTTACAATGGTGTTATAGAATGTTATGATAAGAATTTACACTTTCATAATCCCCAATGTAACTAATTAACCAACATTTTAGCATCATTTTTGGCATAAAAAATGAAAACATAACTACACTATAACAAAAATTAATTTAATTTCGCCAAATAGGACACCCTGTCTAAATACTCGACTAAAGTCAATTCCTCTTCCTCGTGTCTTCCTTTTAATTCCTGGAGCTGGCTTTGGATTTGAGCACATTTTACATCTCTTCCTTGGTGGTTAATATTTTGTTCTTGTTGTAAAAATGTGATCATTTCAAAAACATTCGGACGGGCTTTTTCAACTAGCTTCTTGATTCTTGCAGGCCATCCTTCCAGGTTGTTGTTGGTTCAGAGTGAACATAAATTCATAAAATCTTTAACACCGTTAATTGGGTCCTTATAACAACATGCCTCTCTTCAAACGAAAGCCGACAAGTCGATATCTGCGCCTTCGTGGGAAGGATTAATTTTGGTCACGCTCTGTAACTGCGCCTTCGTGGGAATACACCAGAGAGAGAGAGAGAGAGAGATGGGTTTTAATGTCCACTCAACACAAACTAGGTCATTTTGGGACTAACTTATGGTTTTAAGTGGGAGGAAACCAGGGGACCCGGAGAAAACCCACGAGGTTGGACAGGCGACCCTACTCCTTATCATGTACAACCAGGGATTTGAAACCACGCCAGTTGACTCAATGACAGGCCTTATGATACAGCGCGCACGTGCTAAGCATTCAGCTATCCAATTGCCTAACAGGGTTTATGTACGTTTTCTCTATATTATGTTTAATTTCTGTGCCCCATTCCATGGAAAAATTGTCTAGATTATCCTTTTAAGTTGCCATTTAGCCTTCCTCTAATTGGGTTATGCAAATTGGACATATTTCAACAGAAATGGGGTGACAGTCGACAGCAGACAACAAATATAGGGTTTGAACACACACTTCTAGACATGCTGCCTAGAATGGGGGGGTGGGGCCAGGGTATGAGCAGGAAATTATGCTGTAGTTGTATCCTAGAATTATCAACTTCTGAAAAAATATTGCGAGAATATTTTAGTGTGTCTAATCCGGCGTCCTTTATTTACATTTAAGATGTTTTTTGTTGGAGAGAGTTCAAGTTTATACATTATAATAATTAAATTGGTGTAGTATCAGGTTTTGGATTTCAAAATTGGCCACAAATAAAATTCACAGTTCTACTACTCCACCCTCCTGTAAACTCTTGCAGAACATCAATTTAACTTACCATGTAACATGAAAATATTGCTTACAACCATTTTTATTACATTGCATACAAGCTCCAGTAGATGCTTTTGTTTCTCTTCCCTGTTCCTCACATATATAACATATCTGAAATATGAAAGGTCTTCACACTCTTTATAACGAACAGATACAAATATGAGTTTTTGACACAAATTCATACTTTTGAAGAGGTCTTAAAAATTTGTATTTCAATATGGCACGACTCTGACAGTCATTCATATGATAAGGTTATTTCCAGATAAAGTTTGTACAATAATTATGTTAGTAAATATCTAAATTCGAAAGTCTCACAACTACTTTGTTGAATCGTTCCTGAGGTACGTTTTTAAGAACTATTGGTTCCATCGTCTGAACATTGGCAAACCAAGCCTCTGGGATAAACAGAGCACAAACAACATGACACCAACCTAAAAATAAACAAATCAACAAATGAATATTTCATTCAGATGTAAAGAGACATTAGAACTAGGTTTTCTCTTGTCAGTAAAAATTCATTTGACAATAAAATGATATTTATCAGGTGTTCAAATTAGATTTCACGCAAAATTTCAGGCAGATCTACTGAGATGTGATAGTTTTAGGATTCAGTATAGCCGATAGGATGCCTGTGAAAAATGGTTACTTTGAATGTGACATTATATGAATTTAATTACATTTATTTTGTTGAAAGTTGTAATTCCTCTTTAAAAATTTGATGCATCAAAGCCCAAATATATGAGCTAGTAAATACTATGATTCTTGGCGCGGAGAGAGAAATGGGGTTAAACTTGACTAGACACAAACTTGTCATTTGAGGACTAACGATTCTAAGCATTTACTCAAAAACAATCGATCCTAATCAAAAACAACGTCCCGTGGACATACGCTTGTACCCAATAAAATCAAATGACTTAATTATATGGACTCACAACATGAAAAACATCAAAAGATAGAAAGTGGTACCAGGTGTTCATGAAATGGCAAGCATTCCATGTCTCAATCATGACAGCCACTACTTTTTTCATAAAAGTACATTTGTTTGGGTATGTTTCTAAACTCTATATCTAACCTTTATTCTGGCATGTAGTGGCTTTAATAATGCTGTAATGAAATGTTTACAATGTTCACTAATTTTTACTTTCTTGGCTACAGAAAGTTACTTAACTGTCCTATCTAGACCACATTTTTCCATACAATTTGAGATTTATCAACAACCTATAGCTATCCATTGCTGGAATTGTACTAGCATACTTACTGTTAGAATCGGTTCTTTTAAGAGCACCATCTTTCATTGGACATAATTCACATCTCTGGCAAAATAAAACAAATATGATATATGAATGTTTATTATAAAACTTTGTGATTGAATATTCTGTCAAGTAAGTTAAACTTACAATGTACCCAATACAGAAATATATACTCGTTGGTCTGATTCCGCATTAATAAAGAGTTACGTCCCTTGAAGAAATTAGAAAATATTTATTACTGTTACACAGCTTATCTTCAGTGTTTTGCGTGCTAAAAGTTATGCATCTATTAACTACGATGTCTTTGATCGAGAATATCAATAAATTCACTGATAAAGAACCTAGAGAATAACCCCAAAAGTTATTTTATATCTGCAATCTGTCACTTCCGGTTTTTGTTGACACACACAAAAAAAATTGACATGGCCGACTTACAACTCTAGCAGCACGTTCTTGAGACTCACATTTCCTACAATACCATGGTCCTTTGGGAACTTGAATAATGCCATAACATGCTGAAATAAGAAATACAATATTTAATGTTTCGTTCCACCAAATTATCAGACTTCTTTCGTGTAGTAAAGCCTATATATCAAGCGATAGATTACCCTGGTGTACGGCAACATTGCAACCCTGACCATCACAATAAACAAGCGGGTTCTCTGTCCATCCACGTTCGTCAGAACAAACGCAACAACCTCCAACCATCTCCTTCATCGTGTTTCTCTAACTACGTTAGAAAGATGACAATAAACTAATTGTTTAAATAAAATCCACCATAAAATGGTCCATCCATGGTTATTTTCTCCGTCGGACCGAACATTTTACCGCAATTTGGCTTAAGAATTTTGACGCATGCGCAAATATGATGTGGATTTGTTTTGGTTGGACCACGTGTTTTTATTTACGTTTTGGTCAGTTGTGACTAAAACTGTGTTTATAAATAAGCCAGACGTCAAATAACTTCAGACGAAGAAGTTTTGTTTTTTGCTCTATTTTGTGGCAACAATACCCCGATAATAATGAGCAGTGTTTTCCACTTCTGTTTTTCTCTATTTTACACGTAATAGCCTACCGTAAATAAACATATAAAAAACCCAAAATAAATACAATTTTTGCTATATGACAGATATAAACCATAATTCTGCTTTTTTGGTGGTCCAGAATATCCATTAGAACAGATTACTTGTCTGTATTGGCATGGAAGCAGTGGTTCAGTTTATGAAATGGAATGCAATAGGTTTAGTTTATATCAAGGGCGTGGATTTGTCTTAAATTGGGGGGGGGGGGAGAGGGGGGGGCGGCGGCGGCGGACAAAGCCTGGAATCTGGAACATTTCATTACCAAACCAAAATAACAGTTTACTGCACCAGTGTTATTTCGATGATATAGTTCTAGGCCTATTCATATTTGATCAGTATGATTTTTCTATTGCATGTAGAAATTGTAACATTATTTTATTATTTTTGCGGTTTGATTTTCATGACGAACCAGCGGCTGGCAGGCAGGATACGCCCACATTTTGCAAGAGGCGGATAGAGAAAAAGCTAAAAACAAAACCGATTTTTGTACAATCAGCGGCCATAATCCAGAAAGTTATGGTCTGAAATACGCAAATATATCAAAAGGGACTGAGATTTTTGGAATCTAAAGATGTGTTTTAAGTTTCATCAAAATCGGATAAAAATTGTGACCTCTAGAGGGTTCATAATTTGTATTATATACTTATATACACAATTTGCAGACAAAGAGCGGCCATTTTGTCGGGCAGTTTCATTTCGATTTTCCCGAAATTCGAATTCAACCTTCATTATGGTGGAATGGTGACATATCTAAACGGTTTTTAAAATCGGAAAAAAATTGTGACCTTATGAGAATTCATAAGCTAAATATGCGATTTTTCGACAAATCGGGACCATAATTCACGAAGTTACGTTCGGATATGTGTGATTATCAAAATGATCTAAGATCTTTATGATAAAAACATATATTTTAAGTTTCATCCAAATCGGATAAAAACTGTGGCCTCTAGAGGGTCCACTTAACCTTGATGTACTATATTTTTTACACTATTTGCATACAATTGGCGGCCATTATGTCCGTCAGTTTTAGTCCGATTTTCAGAAATTCGAACTCAACCATCATTAGTGTATAACTGTGATATATTCACACGTTTTTTTTTTTTATTAAATCGGATAAAAATTGTGACCTCTATAACGACCACAAGCTCAAACGCACGCGATTTTTCTTACAATCAGGAGCCACAATTCAGGAAGTTACGATCTGATATGCGCGAATATCGAAAGGAACCAAGATCTTTGGGTTATAAACATGCAATTCAAGTTTCATCAAAATCCGATCAAAATTGTTACCTCTTGGCGTTTTTTGATTGGTTGATTTATTATTTTGATTGACAGCTGCAATCGGTCAAATAAGGATGAAATCAAAGGAAATGAAATGTTGTTTTATGGCACCTCACATATAGCGCCAAACATATAGTGATTATTTCGAGCCAGGCTAAATTATAACACAGAAAACAAATATATGCATAAATAAAAACAGTATCTCAGAAGTAAAATTTAAAAATAAAATAAATCTTTTAATATAAATTAAAATTTATGATAAAACCCTGTCTCTTTTAAGAAGTCTAACACTTTACCATATAAACCCGGTTGGGCAAACATGTGATGTAATGAATGACAACGGTAGAAATGCGATCTTACATCTTTGAGATGCTTGCACTCAATCAGAATGTGCTTAACTGTCAATGGAACTTGACAGTGTTCACAATGTGACCGACGCTCTCGTTTTAAGATGAAAATATGAGTCAAAAATGAATGACCAATGCGAGAGCGACACAAAACAACTTCATCTCTCCTGTTGGTTCTAGTCTCCTAAGCGAGGCTTAATGTGATGAAGTTTGTTTGTGTCTGTAAGATTCCAAGACCGTTGCCAGCCCTTGTTTATAAAATGATTGATTGGTGATTTAAAATCAGTAAATGGTAATAGAAATTTTGATATGGGAAGATCTAAAGCAGACTTGGCAGCTAAGTCTGCTTGAGCATTCCCTTTAATATCAACATGACTGGGGAGCCAGCAAAGGACAATGTCCTTGCTGTTAAACTCGTGTGATAGTAGCAGACAATAAATGTCTGCTACTAACGGGTGTACAAGCTGTTTATTGTTTATTGCTTGTGAAGAGGTCAAAGAAACAGTAAATATAACATGTTTTGACGATGAAGAGGATTGAATGAACTCCAAAGCCGGAAAGATGACCTGGAGTTCAGCAGTAAATATGGAAGCAGCAGGTGGAAGTCTGACAGAAATGATTCCAGATGGCGTGACGCTAGTCGAAGCTACCCGATCACCATCTTTAGAACCTTCTGTGTAAATAGGAGCGTAATCACCATATTTAGACCTTAACTTTCGAAAGAGAGACTGAAACACTGTGGAGCTAGTATCTCTCTTTTTGTTTTTTTGTTAGATCTTCGGTGGAGAAATAGTCCAGGGTGGAGTTCTAAACAAAGGGGTATTCGCAATACTGTCATGGATGATGCCAGCCTCTGACAAAAGGGGTTGGATGCGAATACCGAATGATGGAATCACGTTAGTTTTCAGTAAATACAGATGTTCATGATATGGTCTAAATATGGTGTTATATGAAATATGATGAGGTAGAGACACAATTTTTGTAGCATACTGCTGTGCCAGTTTATCACGTCTGTTATACAATGGGGGCTCGTGCGCCTCGACGTAAAACTCTGTACTGGAGATGTACGGAATGCTCCTAGACTGATTCTAAGTCCTTGGTTGTGCATGGTGTCAAGCTCTTTGAGATAAGACTCGCTGGCTGACCCATCCACAAAACACCCATAATAGAGTTTAGACCTTAATGCTAGAACAACTGAACAAGACCTTACGGTCTGCTCCCCAGTCAGTGTTTGATAAAACTCAATAAGTTCAGGGCTTTCAGACATTTCCTCTTGAGTGTTTTTATATGAGGGAAAAAAGATAATTTCTTATCGAATATCAAACCCAAGAATTTCGTTTGATCTACAACTGGAATGGGGCTTCCATCCAGTGTAAGCTCCGGATCAGGATGTAAACCCCTTCGTTGACAAAAGTGCAAAATCGAAATCTATTGTCAGTTGTCCATCGTTGCAACATCAACATAAAGAGAGCCGTCGACCCCACGTTTAAGGCACGTAGGTATCGTATCAATTTTTATTGCAAAGAGTGTAGGAGACAATACTTCCCTGATGAAAAGGGTCAGAGAAAATTTATCCCAACCGTACCTTAAACGACCTATCTTCTAATAAGATTGTAATGAAGACAGATCGAGGTTATGCAGGTAGCGCATGATACCATATTTCTATGTGGTATCGGAAGCGTTCTCCAGATCGAACAATATAGCATCTAAATGTTGTTTCAAATCTAACGAGATGATCAAGAGTGCTCCTTTGGGTCAAAATCCACATTGGATATCTGTAATGAGGTTGGTGGACTCAAGGTACCAAACAAGCCTTCGATGGATCAATCTCTCCATGGTTTTGCATATGCAGCTAGTTAAAGCGATCGGGCGATAATTGGTAGGATTCGTAGGATTTTAACCCGGTTTTAGGGATGGGAATTATGGTGGCTTCATGTCACGAAGAAGGGGAATTCCCATCTAATAATATTAAGAGTGTAGATATGGGTAAATGTTTTAAAATCTTGTAGTGAATTTCATCTGGACCAGTTGCAGTATCCCGAGCTCGTTTAAGAGAATCACGGAGTTCAGCAATAGCAAACTTTTCATTATAACATTCATCATTACGGGACTTGAAGCTAAGTCGTCTTTTTTCATGTTGATGTTTAATGCCCCGAAACTGCGAAAGGCACCCGAGGAGCAATTGGATGACGAATTCGCGATATCAGGAAATGGTGTTAGGGTGGAATTATCAACATTCAGATGGTTAACTGATAATGCACTACTTTTACCTTTAATTCTACGAATTCTATCCCATTTCGATTTGGAAGTGGTACGGGAATTTATCCTTGAGACATAACATTGTCATGAAGACGTCTTTGCTTGGCGTATGGTTCTACGGGCCTGCACCTGGATCATCTCGTATGCTGCAATATGGAAGGGTGACTCTCTTAAGAGCGGATTTGCAATCGTTATTATACCAAATTTTATTGAAACGTTTGGGCTCTGTCGTGGTCTTTGGAATCGCCTGCTCTGCTACATCTTAAAAGAATTAGAGTTAATAAGGCCATGGGCTCATCTGCATCTTCTAATTCTTTTGCATCAAAAGCAAGAGACACAAAGATTAAAAAAGAGCCCAATAAGCCTTATGCATCTTCCACCTCTGCGGTCGTTCAACCGAAGAGGGCCCATTATTTCCTATCAAGATCGGAAAATGGTCACTACCACACAGAAATTCATTTACTCTCCATGTAAAATCCTGAAACAGGACCGGAGAACAAATGGTGAGATCGAGGAAAGAAAAAGAAGCTGTGGCCGGATGTAGCTAAGTAGGCGAGTCATTATTTAATAAGCACAAATTATTAATGTTAATGAAGTCCGCTATTTGTTTACTTCTGTTATTTTCATCCGGACTAACCCAGAGTGAATGATGACCAATGAAGTCTCCCGTAATTATAAATGGGAGAAGAAGTTGCGCAACAAGGTCATCAAGATCTCTGGGGTTCAGATGTAAACTTGGTGGTAGATATACAGAGCAGAGTGTGATAGGAATATGTACAGTCACCCTAACTGCAACTACCATCATTATTAGCAAAATGATGTAGGCAACAAAATGTCCGAGTGATAAGACATCTGAATTCTTTAAAAAAAAGTTTCTT